CTCCCTTCAAACTTCGAACATTGCCTCCAACTTGCAGACCTTTATGTTACCTTATCCGTATTTCATTTTGTGCTAAACGAACCCACAATGTGTCTCATCCGTGTCGTCCTGATATCCACAATTTGCATCACCATTACATCTTAGTAATGAACTTATACATAGCTTACTATATGTGCACATATATTCATTTGACGCGCTACATTCGCTCATTTCTGAAAAAGATATCAATTTTGAGTAAGGTTAGGCAACTCAATCCATTTACCTACCATTAACCTCTCGAACTTCGGTCCAGCTCATATTAAAGCCTTTCAGGCCATTCACTTTGTCGGGACTCGTCAGAAAACTGTAAGAAATCATATAATTTTACGAAAAAACTAAAATTGTTTGATTTACCTTGTATTATGTATAAAATATATCAATTTAGTATGCAACCTACCTAATTCGCACCGAGCTGTTTTTCGTCACAAATGGAGTGAAAACGTTTTGATTGGTCCCGCAGTATTCAGGACGAGGCGCACCAGATACACGAATCACGGCCTAAATCAGTTCACAACCGACTCAAACGCGATTCAACCAATATTTATTTGAACTGAAGATGCACTCAATACAGTAACGTTTATATTGATTAGTATTGATTACCACGGTCGTACGGTAAGGTCATTGCTTACAGTAACCCAATATGGACTGATAAATGATTCAAAGCCCAAATCGTAAATCCAAGTACGAAAGTTTTTTTCGAGGTTTTTACTGATTAGGAATCCTTGCCTAAGTTGTTGCTCGAAGCAAAGACTCTCATCCAGACCGTACTCCTTTTTGACTGGCAAATCAGGATTCACGACTGAGGTGAAATGCGTACGGTCCGGGTGAGGGCTCAAAGATGGAATTTTCCATATGCAAATGGACCATATAAGCTGTCGTCTGGGCACTTGCCAGGTAAATTAATCCGGGTAACCAGATATGCTTGGCACTTTTATTAAGAAAAGTTACTATACCTTTTGACAATGCGCCTTATTTGCCGTCACTTCACCTTCGATTTCCATTTTGACCATAGTGAGTAGAATCTAAAGCATTACAATTTTTGATTTATAAGCGTCAAAAACATTTTTTTGTCGAGAGCCCGACCTTGTATCCATCCCTAGCTATAATCTCCCAATCGCAATGAACATCTTTATTATATTTGACCGGATAGTTGGGAGACATCACATAACCAGTTGGTGTCGTCTCACTAGCACGAATTCTTCTACCACATCGATACGCTCCATCACCTCGGGTTTCCTTTGTTTCTAAAATCAAATCTTTTTTGTGCAAGAAAGATAATGTTGAGATCTACCATGAGTTGGGATATCTTCCTTCGCTGCTGGACGGATTTCATACAAAGCTTTGAAACCGTTACCACTTCCTTTTGAGTCTGAACTGAACACAACACGCATAGAGTAGGCGCCAAAAGCAGATACGGTGGGGCCAGGAAGTGTGTCCGAACAATAGCGTTCTAAAGCAAAAAAAAGTGATGCCAAAGTGAAATCTTGGTAGAAGCACAGACCCTGAAGCACCAGCCGCTCCTCACCATTGTCTTGGAATACGTCGTAGATTTCCAGCCAATCTTTACATCTGAAAAAATTTATTTCTTCAACCAGAAATTTCAAAATCGGCAAAGTGACATAATTTACTCCCAG